ATTTGATACTCAGGACCCACATGTTGGGAGGAGAGGGCTGATTTCACTAATTTGTTCTGTGACTTCCTCTTGCCACCCGAAGCACACACAGTCCTCCATCTGCAAGAGTGTGAAAAGCGTGATGAGGGGATGAGGATGTGAAGGTTCCTGAGGGTGTGAGGAACTGACAGCAGATCACTGGTCTCTTTGTTCTGAGAGCTTCAGTAGTGTGCACTGATCCCTTCACTGGCTGTTCCTGCGCAGACTTAGCATGTGATTTACAATCTCACTCTTAGATATATGTATGCATGATAATAAACACATGGCTGCCAAGATCATAAATGAACCTTCAGGGAAATATTATTAATGTTGTAAGTCTTCAAACAATCTCAATGTTTGTCAGTACATGAATGTTTTGCATGACTTGCTCATCACTAGAATATATTTGGCAAAAGAAATAAATATAAAATGAAATAAAACAGTGTTTATTATATGGTTAAGTTCCCAGAATGTTTTGCTGAGTTAAGGAAGCTAGATAAAGGAAATAGTATATTTTCATATTCTAATACATGAAGAAGCAATCTCATAAAGACATATTAAACTAATGGTTTCTTGAGGGGAAACTATTTTTGAGGGGAGTTTGGAGGTGAGGGATGTAGCCTAAATGGTGCAGCATTTAATTCTGGGGAGTTGAAGGTCTCAAATTTATTAGGTGGGGCTGGAGAGGTGGCTCAGTTCTTCAGAGCACTCGCTCCTCCAGAGGACCCAGCCTGGTTGCCAGAGCCCATGTTAGGCAGTAGACAGCTACCTGTGATTCCAGCTCCAGGGGACTCAGTACGTGTGGTCTCTGTGTGCACCTGCACTCATGTGCCGTACTGCACACCATGTTTAATTAAAAAAATGATTTGGAAAGGTTGTCAGACTCCACCAATAAGCTAAAGACAACTTAATTGTCATCTCCTAGTTTTTTAAAATTTATTTGGAACAGGTTCATTCCTCATCAACCAGGCTGGTTTAAAACTTGTAGCAATCCCCCTCTTCAGGATCGTGAGTGCTGGGACTTTATGTGTGTTCTCACACATAAAATGTTCATTAATGTAAATGGATTAATTGTATAATTTTAAATTATGTCTCAATAAAGCTTTTATTAAAACAATAGTCCTTAATTACAGAGTGTGAAGTTTCTTTATATTCTGATTTCTAAGAAAAGATCAAACTATTGAAAGTGGAAATGAAATAAGTGTGAGCTGAAATATCAGTGATCAGGTGTATTGCAGGTTTTAATTTATTTGATTGTAATTTATATATTTATTGATTGGTAGATTGGTGTGCTGTTTCCATCAATGCTTTTTGTCATGCAATAGTCAAAGCACAATGTTGAGGTCAGAGGGTGAGTTTCAGAACTCAGTTCTCACCTCTGACCATTGAGTGAGGGACCTGGTGATTTAATGAAGGTTGTCAGGCTTCCTTTATATGCTAAAGGCTGAGCTATTGTTTTGAGTCTATTTTTGACATCATACGGGGATTATGTTTGTGTTCAAGAATTATATTTATCTGTTAAAATAAGTTTGGGATTTGTTTCCATACTTGAATATATCTATTTTATATTTAAGACTCTCTCTCTGTGTCTCTGTCTCTCTCTGTGTGTGCATGCACATGCGTATGCCATACATTCCATGTTGAGTCAGAGGACTAGTGTGTAGAGTTTGTTCTTTCCTAATTTGTTTTTTGAATCTTTATTACTTTTATTATTATTATTGTTATTATTGTTACAAATTTTTACCTCCTACCCTCTGCCCATTTCGCTCCCCGTCACCCAACTCCGCCTCCCCCTCCTTATCTAGTCCTAAGAGCCGTCAGCATTCCCTGCCCTGTGGGAAGTCCAATGTCTTCCCTCCTCCATTCTGGTCTAGGAAGTTGAGGATCCAAACCGACTAGGTTCCCACAAAGCCAGTACATGCAGTAGAATCAAAATTCTGTGTCTTTGTCGTTGGCTTATCAGTCAGCCCTCCATGTCAGCCACATTCAGAGAGT